GGCAGCCCTCGCCGCGGCGGCTGCCTGGGCGCTGACCCCCCCTCGGCGGCCGCAGCCAGAGCCGTGTCTGCTGGTGTCCCCTGGATCGCCGGCCCGGCTTGCTGGGAGCCTCGGTCCCACGCTCACGTTGAAGCTTCTAGGACCGGTTTGCCGAGAGCTGAGTCCCAGCAGGCAGAAGACCGAGAAGTTCAGCGTTGGGTGTTTTAGAGCCACCCGGCCGGGATGGGGGACTGGAAGAACTACATTAACTGCATCCTGAAGGACAGGAACGTCGAAGACGTAGCCATCGTGGGCCACTCTGACAACAAGTGCGTGTGGGCATCCAAGCCAGGAGGGCTGCTCGCAGCCATCTCGCCTCAAGAAGTGGGCTTAATCACTGGCCAGGACAGGAACGGTTTCCTGCAGACCGGCATCACCATAGCTGGTAAAAAGTGCAGTGTGATCCGTGACAACCTACTGGTAGAAAAAGACGATGTGATGGATATCAGAACCAAAGGCGGAGACGGCAGATCCATCTGTATCGGCAGGACACCCAGAGCCCTGATCTTCCTCATGGGCAAGAAGGGTGTCCACGGAGGAGCCCTCAATAAGAAGGTCCATGAAATGATTATGGGCATGAAGACCTACCGCAGATAGTGTCAAAGATGGACATCTTCCTGAGCACAGGGAGAGAAAGGAAAGAAAACTGATTTTGTTAAACATGTCTTTGCCTGCCTCTTTTCGGTAGGAGGGTGCTGGGCAGGCAGAAGTGCTGGTATACTAATAGTCTGCCTGACCGTCTCTTGGTACAGAAGGGAGCGAGATTTGCATTCCTCATCAGGACGCTTGCTGTAACTTGAGTGGTCTCCAGGCCACTCAAGTGTGGGTGATCTCTCCCTGTTGTTCTCATTTTACTGACTAATTTTGCTGACTGGTTTTGGGGTAAAGGTCTCTGTTAACATCAGCTTTGGGAAAAGGCAGAAGGTACGGCAATTCCTTTGCACTCTGGTTCGCTAGTTTGCCGTTTAACCAAGTCATGCCCTAATGCCCTTTGTAGTTTTTGAGACCTTCCTGCTTCTACAAGTAGTCCACAACACTAAGAATAAGCAGGGCTACTTAAAACAGCTTGTCTTTTGTTTTCAATAATACACCATTAGGCTGTTGCTGAAAATAATAGCTCATTTTATTTTCTTTCATGTCACGTTAAGAATTCTGAGAATCCATTATATACCGTTTGCTACTCATTAATCAGAAAGGGTTGATAACAGGAAGAGTAAAGCTAGTTCAGGTATCATTTGAACATGCTAGGGTTGGTTTGGCAGCCTACCCCTCTTCCACATGTTCTGTATATGATAGACTTACTGTTTATTGTGCAATTGCCCCTGGAACAAGCCCAGTTCATTCTAGAGTTTTAACTATTGCCCAGCAGGGCCTTGTGCTGATGTTGCACTTGTGTGTGAGGCATGCATATAGTCTTCCTCCTGCTCGCCTTCCAAATCCTCTGAAACCCTTTACTTTTTGCACTACTTTGATGACTAAATTCGGGGTGGGAGGGTGATTACATTGGGAGTTGTCTGTCTTGCATCTGTGGCACAGGGATCTTCTGAAGGTTGCTTCCTGTTTCGTCCTTTCCATCCTGTTCACTCATACTGTCCAAGCTCAAGATCACTGGAGCCCCTCTGAGCCTCCCCGGACCCTCTGGGAGGATGCGACGTTGAAAGCTGCAGGCTCCCTCCTCCTTCCAGTACCCCTTTCCCTCCTGCTCCTACTTACAACCTTGAACTGCCACTTTGAGATGGAGCAGAACTGGCACACTTGAGATGGGGTCAACACAGGGAAAACTCAAGGGGTATCTCCTCGCCAGGCTTGTCCCCACGATGCTGTAAACTAACTTCATTTTTTTTCCCAAAGGCTGGCCAGACCACGCTGGGCAGTGCATTGAAGGCAAGCCCAGTCCCGTCACATGCGGGGTTTCCTTGCTCCATTGCTCCTGGCAGCCCTGGTAGCTGCCTGACAGCAAGCCTGAACCCACCGGACGCCTTCCCACTGCAACATTGGCAGGCCATGCTCATAAACCACAGGAAAACACCCCGTTCTCCATAATCCTTGAATCCCCCCACTGTAGCAGGAAAACCTCTTGCTCTAAACTGCATAGCCTACTTTGAAATCCTGACATTCGCTTTCCCCTTCCACCTCCAAATCGTCTGGCCTCCTAGGCCTACTGAGTCAAAAATAATTACTCTCGAAGAATGTACAAAGCTGCCACAGAAATGAAAGGTGAGTCAGTCCTGCTGCATGAACTTAGTACACTTGCATGCTCTTTGATAACCATTAATCTTCTAATTTAATAAGGAGGCAATATTTTGTGATTTAACTAAGCTCACAGAGAGATCTTTAATCTGCAGCCACACTCACTAACCAGATAGCGAAAGTATTAGCAAATGTTCAACAAAACTACAATAAGCAATTGACAAGCACTGTCCTCATAAGCAGTGCTTACAGGCATGAATCAAAACAAATTAACCTAAGCACTCAAGGGAAAATCATGAAAACGCAAGTTGGTTTTAGAATCTAACACTAAAAGCAGTGAATCAAATGAAATAATTTTTTAAAAATAGATTAATTTTTATGCTGGTCACAACTTTTCCAAAGAGCACAGGCATTCCTAATGAAAATTGCCATTTATTTTCATAAGTTTAAGCCAAAAACGAGTCAATATCTTCTGTGATTTCTTGAGTACGGGTAGTATTTTCCACGGTGCAAATCATAAAATGCAGAAAGCTTTCACCCTCTGAACTTTAGCCTAAGAGGCATCAAGATGGCAGGATTTGGAATAAAAGGAAATAATTTTGAATGAGTTATTACTCGCTCCCTTATTGCTTGGTCCCTTTTTCTGGGTGCCAGAGAAAATGAGACTGGAGTGTATACACTTAATCAGCATGAGAATTTGGAGAAGTGTAGACCGAAGCAGCGTGCTGGTGCTGTGAACAACTACAGCTACTTCTTAGTTAAATGCTATGATAGCACAGTGGTTTACAAAAGAAGTTTCTTTCTGTTTGAAGGACCCATTAACTAAATCTAGAAATAGCTAGCCTTTGCTAGCAATAGCATCTTAACTTAGAGAAGAAATTATTTATAAATCCGAGAAGGGCTCGAAACCTCTGTTCCCTAAATCTGCCAACCTGGAGCCAAAGGAGATTTTTGTTCAGCCCAGCTCCAAAAAGCACCTGTTACGTTCAGCCTTGACTCTTCTTGAAGACTACGGCCTGAGGGAGCTTAAGGAGGAGTAAGAGAAGGGAGCAGTATCTGCATAATCTCTCCTCTCCTGCTGTGATGCAAGGAACGTAAAATTAGAACTGGCTACAAAGAGCATGGCCACAGCTTAACATTTTAGGTCTAAGACAGCAGGCTTTGAGAAAAGCAGTCTGTTCACCCACACTGCAGGCACCTCTCAAAAAGCCCCCAGTAAGTAGCTTAACCAGCAGCTCCGTTTTATTCTCTGTATCAGGCACACCTATGCTTAGCTAGGAGTCTCTAACTCCTTCTGCTATGAAACGATGTGAATAAAGCTATTCAGAAAAGATCTATTTACTGATTTGCTTACAAACCAAACACCGCCTCTAGTGTGAGAGTTGTATTTGCTGTAGCCGGACTGGGTACAGTAAACCTGAATTTCCCAGGAAAGGACCTTGTTCTCAATTGCTTTTAACTTTGTGGAAAATCCACGTGGAAAGATTTAAAGAATTTTAGTTGTTTCAGCTAACGAAAAGACAACGGACTGGGGATATTGTCGATCTTCAAATATGTGGCTACTGCTATGGTTTGGAAAGGCATAAAATACTGCTCTGAGGGGCAGATTTAGGTCAGGGCATCACAAAAAAATTCCTAGTGACAAAGATTGCCTGGAAAGGTTTGTAGTCTCTGCATGGTTGAAGACTTTTAGACAGGCTTGGTGAAAGAGTGCCAGAGTGGAACTAGGTGTAGGTCGAGCTTGTCTCAATGAAGGAATAGGGATTAAATGACCACACCAGAGATCCATTTCAGGTGTTTTTCCAGTGGTTCTATCATAATTCCCAGAAGGCAGAGGGTAAGGGAATGACGCTGCTGAATAGGCAGTCATCCTATCTTCTTCATCTCCCAGCATGTCACATTAATTTCGGTGAGATGTGGTAAAAATTATATTACACCTCATTATATTAAACACACACAAATTAAAGCCTTCCTTCCAAACACAGAGTACGCAATAAATTCAAAAGATTCCTCCATAGAGAGGATGGGAGGATAAAAGCATTGCTGTTTCCTCTTATAATCTTCAAAGAAATCAGAGTTCAGTGAGTCATGCACTAGAAATGAGCTCAGTTAAACTAACGTAGGGACAAATCTCAAGCAAATAATTGGTGATGATAGAATTAAAAATAGGCTCATTAACGATAGATGCCTTTTAGGGGAGACAGAGCAATGAGTTACGGGGATGTGCTTTGTGAGGCTTTCCCTAAACAAGGAATCATAAATACATAAAAACTAGGCAGGCGGGTAGGTTACTTTGTTCACTGTGCAGTCAAATAAGAAAGTTAATTGAAATTAGCCTTTTTCCTCCAGTTAAATGTTCAACTTTGCCGTCTGTGAATTCACCCAGCCAATACAGCAGTGGTTGTTCCAAGCAAATGTTCGGTCCGGCGTCAACAAACGCAGTCTAATTACATTAAAAATTCTCTCCATCTTCTGTAATTGCAGTTCTCCAGACGAATACAGTTATCAGTCAGGCAGCTTTAGGATTTTGAATAGTCAGGGTAGAGCTGCATGGGAGCCGGGAAAGCAGGTAAGGACAGAAGGAGAGGTTTTACTGGGGAGCGATGCACTCTGCAGCACAAGAACGAACAGATTTCGGCGGAGACGACTTAGCAGCCATCAAGGGGAAGGATGGGACTCACCAAAGTACAACGCATGTTTAGGTGTTTAAGAAAAAAACGAAAACTTAGGGTTACATATCTTTATGTTTGAAACAATCGCAAACAGGACACACAGGATCGGGATTCAACCGAGTACGAAACAGTGGTATGCAGAGACAGGTACTTTGCTGGGACCCCAGTTCCTAGAGACCAGCCTTGACAAACAAGAGGGCCTGCTGCGGGGAGGGCAGGATATCCCTGCAGGAGGAGCTGATGCAGAACAACGATCGTGGCTAACACGGATGGAAATCTGCCTTTTTCCCAGGAGATGGCACTAAAGGACAGTTGCCTTTCAGCTGGCATAATTTAGTGGAGCAGAAGCTTCGCTGAGGGCCAAGCTGTTGTTAATACAGTTTGCACTGGCGTTTTTGCAAGTTGCTCCTTGTTGTCAGAAGCAAAGCTTTAGTCTTAGCGTCTCTGGTTTTAGCTCGGCATGGTGGTGGGTGAGGATGTTTGTCTGTTATATCTGCATGCAGCAGCTATTTATGACCTTCTCATTAGTACTGCGTTAAGGCCGAACACCATCCACAGACGTTCCAGTGCTTAATTGTCGTTCTAGGGATTTTTTTCCCTGTATCCAGCTGGAACCTCCCTAGTTTCAATTTATGACCATTGCCCCTTGCTGTCCTGCTGTGCACCTCGGTAAAGAGCCTGGCTCTGTGTTGTTGGCAACCCCTTCTTACACACTGAAAAGCCGCAGCGGTGCCCCCCCCCAAGCCTTCCCTCCTCCACGCCAAGCAAGCCCAGAGCCCTGAGCCCCTCCTTGTGGGTGACGTAGGATTCAGGAAGGAGCACCGTTCTCTCCAAGCTCAGTCTAGACTTTATACCCTGAAAGAGGCCTGGCAGCCTGACACTGCTTCCTACACGGACAAGGAAGGGGAGAATTTGCTTCCATTACCTTCTTTTAATTTAATCTCCATTATCTAGATGCTCATTAGGGTCTCTGCTGCTCCCTGAAGTAAAAAAATTTCCAAAGCCCACCATGTGCAGGTAATGGCAGAATCTTCACACAGATTTTAGGACCATTTTTCTTTCTTGGAAGAACTAACAAAGAACTTGAGATACAGAAAATGAGACAACTGATTTTACAGAAGCCCAACACAAAACCTGCCCCTTTGCTGCAGGCAGAGGACGCAAAGGTCATTCACGTGTGAGGTGAACGTTGGCCTGAGACTAGCAGAGTTTTGAAAGTGCCTAAGTGCCGTGTTGTGGTGTGTTGCGGCTTTCCTCAGTCACGGCCCTTCAAAAGCGAGCTGTGCAGTAAAGTGCTTCCTTGCTGCTAATGTTGCTGGACAAAAGACAATAGCTGCGAGTTCTCTGCCATTTCCTCAGAGTCTACGGTAAACTCGAGTAGCAATTAAATTGTTCTGGCAAGAAGAGCAGAAACAAGCTTTCTTCTGCTCAGTGACTCAGTGAATTGGGAAAAGCCAGGGATTTAATTTAAATGACTTGCTAGGCTAAGTCAGGTGAGTGGACCTCGTTTCTGAGAGATATTTGGAAGAGCTGACTACTTTCTACCACTCTTGCATGTGTTCAGCTTCTTGAACTTGTTTATGGTGTCATTTGTTGTAAAACATGTTGAAAGAGGGGTAGAAATATGAGGAGACAGAGAAGTAGCACACTCCCTGAAAAATAAAAAGCTGCCAGGTGAAGCAATGGGGAGAGATACAAAGCAAATGCCTGAAGGGAGGAGTGCATTTAGTTCAGGTCAAATCAAATCTTCCCTGTGTTTCTGCTCTACTGTAACATACTCCACTTCCTACCTTCGTGTATGAGAGGATCAGCTGTCTATTTGGACTGGTTAAAAGGAACCCGGAGACAAGGCTGCAGACAAGCTCATTTTAATAAATCAGCCCTCCTTTGCCCATTAGTTGGAGGCTCTCCCTGCTTGGGTGGCTCCTTCAAGGCCAGCCTCACTAAGAGCACATGAAGCCCATGCAAAAGCCGACGGCTAATCCCCGGCTGACCTCGGGATTTGGCATGCCACCAGGGCTGCCCCGGAGAGCCCAGCCTCCCTCGGCCGGCATTACTCGTGCCTCGCTCTCATGACCGCGTGTAGCGATGGCGCTGCAGAGCCTGCCCTGTCCTGCCTTTTCGGACCGTGCCTATGTCAGACGTTGCGTACCGGGGGTGCTATTACAACCAACAGCAGCTACCATCAGCAGCTCTGCCATCCAACCCCACTGAAAACTGAACCTCATGGCCCTGTATCCGACTTCACAGATCTTGCTGTTTGAGCTGGGCTCGTGAAGAGAAGAGCGAGCCCTCAGACCAAGGCCTGGCTTCACAAAGCACAAGCTGAGGAGTGAAGAATTACTGCTATTAAGAAGCACTGATAAGCAGCAGTAAATGGCAGCCTCAGCAAGAAACAAATCAGTTCGTTTTGAGGAAGGAATATAGTCCTGCATGAATCACCAGCTGTTTTACAGCAACAGTGTAGATTACTTGCTTACTTTTTCTTTCTCTCTCCCTTCTTTCTTTCTTTGTTTTTGGTCTATTCTGGAAGCGCTTTAAGCACAAGTCTGTCTTGCCATTATGTATCAAGCTCACTGCTAAGAAACTCCGTTTATAGGTCTTTCTTGTCCTGCAGTGATGGTAGCAAGGTTGTTCCCTTAAAGTTGCACCAGGGAAGCAGGGACCATAGGTCAGCAGACAAAAGTCAGTAGTCACTGTGGTGCTGAACAGTTTACAAGCTAAAGTTCATATTTACCTTTGCGGAAAGTCCATGCACTGAAGGGGCTGGACCCTGTGCGTTGCTGCGGCAGGAAACAGCCTTTCTACTCAGAGGACATTCGTATTTAACGAAAACCAGAGGCATACATCCCACCTACGTTGCTTTAGTCATTCAGAAAAGCATTAACACTTCAGAAGTGCAGC